TATAATTAAACGGATAAACTAGTAGTAGCACATCCAACGTCAAGGAAAGCAAAAAGTTATCAGGAGAGGGAGAATGTTTAAGTGGTTAGCAGCAGTGTGCTAGACGATGGCCCCCTCCATGAGGCCGCCACAGCTCAGCAGAACGTCGTTGTAGCTTCTTCTGGGGAGAAAAACACTTAGAGAGAAAATAAAGTTAACAGCTGAAACAGCAGGAAATAATACAGTTAAAGAGCAGATTGTAGAAGAAAGTAGTAGAGTGTGGAAAGTGGTCAGTGTATCCTCCAGCAGTCTAAGCCTATAGCAGCATAACTACAGAAATAACTCTGGATAACCTAGCCTTTTTAGATGGAGGCATGTTGGAGGCAGGGCAAGGGAGAGCCGTCTTTACCGACTGTACACTCCACCTCCCTGTACTCCCCACTTGTCCAGATCTAGGCTAACATCAGATTTTAACCATAGGCCCTATCAATAAAAATGTTTTAAGCCTAGTCTAGTCTAGGTAATCAGAAGGTTGGAGGTTTGTGTCCCGCTCGGTCTGTCACTGTCAATGTGTCCTTGGGCAAGACACTAAACCCACATTGGTAGACCGGTGGTGCCTGTGTACAGCAGCCTCACCTCTGTCAGTGCAGCTGAGGCTACGGTGTAGCTCATCACCACCAGGGTGTGCATGGGTGAATGATTGATTGTGTTGTAAAGTGCCTTGGGGGGCTCCAGGACTCTAGAAGGCGCTATTTCAAATACAGGCCATTTACCACAAACCAAATCACTGAGTGACAACGGATTAATGCTGCAAATTTGAACAGTTAAACTGAGGAACTGTTGTTGTTTACAAATCTACAAAACAACAACAAACAAACAAAATAAAAGCTGATTTTGCTTCCAGAAAGTTCCTCTGCTGGCCGGCCGAGCCTTCAGCAGCTCCAGCAGACAGCTGAAGAACAGAGTCCCCGAGGCCCAGAAGCTCTTCCAGGTGAGAACCGGACCAGCACTCATACCTCAGAACCTCGGTGTACATGATACACTTCTCATTTGGACCTCTCAGGAGCAACCTAGAACTTCCTTCAAACCTTCAAAATAAAAGTCTCATACAGAAAGACGTTGTCATCATAAAATATCAAACGCCTATAAAAATGACAATAAAATAATAATGATGATAATAATAACAATAATTATTATTATTACTACATGTGGATTTGGAGAAGGCGTTTGTCCACATCTGTCAGGAGGTCTTTGGGAAAGGGGGGTTTCTTCCGGAGTGTGGGGTACCAGGCCCTCTGATACCGGTGCCAGAGCGTGGTCCGCATTGCCAGCAGTAAGGCGAGCTTGCTCCCGGTGCTGGACTCCGCCAAGACTGCTCTTTGTCACCGATTCTGTTCATAACTTTCACGGACCCAGAAAGTTAAAACATTTTCAAATTTTCATCGCTGTCGCTCGGACGAGGACCAATCAACAGAGGTTTCATTCACTGACCAACGAGCGGACAGGATGCTCCGTACACCTCCGAGCAAACATGGAGGAGAAGTTGATTATTATTATGTTTTATAGTAAAATCAGAAGTAAGATTTCACATAACTCTAGCAGCACCTTGTGAAACATCATATCTCCCGCTATATTAACTCTGAACCGCTTAAATAACCTTAATTCCCTCCAACCCGACACGGCCAATCAAAACAACAGAAGTTTCGATTTCGCCATGGAACGGAACGCGTAGACGGCTTTGCCGCTAGCCGCTGCCGCGGATCGCCTCCCGTGTGTCGAGGCCATCAGGGGTTATATTCAGTATTTAGAAGTTTCCATATTTGAGTATTTGAAGTATTTCTATTGTTTGTTTACATGCATTAATTAATTTTTTTATTTAAAATTAAGTCCCCCTCTTTTTTTACTCTACCGTTGTGCTCCTGTGTGTCTGCAATTGCTGTCATGTCAACAAAATTTGCCTACTGAGGGATAATGAAGGGATTTTCTATTCTATTCTATTCTATTCTATTCTATTCTATTCTATTCTATTCTATTCTATTCTAAATCTAATATTCCATGAAACACTGTTGATGATTCAGCAGAAACTCAAACGATCTGATCCCTAGTGAGCATCATGTGTTCATCCAAGTGGTTGCTATGGTTACAGGCAGACAATGGGCTGCCGGTCCATATCAAAGGTGGAACCAGTGACGTCCTGCTGTACCGAGCCACGATGACACTATCAATTGCAGGTGATCTGATTAAACACTCAATTCTGATAAAGAAGTTTATCTATCCTCAACTGTGTGTGTGTGTGTGTGTGTGTTCTCTCAGGAACCTGCTACTCTCTCTATTGGCTTCTCATTGCCTCGATGCCACAGAGGAAGGCATGAAAAAGAAGAAAACGGGCTTGGTCTGTTGCCTGGAGAGCAACGCTGGGCCCAGTGTAAACCCTGATGTTTCACGTATCTGATTGTGTTTCGTTTTAACGCCACTGCTCGCTGCAGAGGAGAGTAAAAAATAAACTTGTTCAGCGTTTTAATTTGACTTTTTCTGGTTTGATCTTAAGGAGAAGCATTTTTTCTTCAGAGCTTCTGTCTTCATGTTTTCGTTCCCAGAATTTGGTCATAAAAAAATTAATAAATAAATAAAACGATTTAAGCTTTAAAATGTCACAAGAGACAGGATAAAAAATAAATGATGGAAATAAAAAAGCTTACTGGGATAATTAAGTTCTGTTTATTTATAAAACGCCCAATCAGGACAAGAGTCGTCTCAAGGGCTTCACAGAGTAAACATTCCAATACAGTTCAGTCCTTTAAGCCTATCAGTAAGGAAGCCAGCAGGTTGCGTCGAGGACAACAAGGGCAAACTGTCAGAAAACAATCAGCAGCTCAGAGAGAGGAAAAGCTCTTTTAGACACTACAATAGAAAAACAACTGATTGTTAGAATTTATTGAAGCCCTCCATGAACGGGTGATCATGTGATGAAATCCAGATTTCAGACTGATGTCGAGGGAAGAAGCTGATGTTTCTAACGCTAAACAGACTAAACTCAAGTCTGAAGGGGTCAGAACTCATGAAGATGAATACCTGGAAAACTGAGCAACGAAGAATTCTCGAGCCCCCATAATTTGGGTCTGGAAATGAAACAAAACAGGAAGTGACAAAAATTGCAGTTCCACCCTCATCCACTAGGGGCTGGTGTCAGAAGCGAGCAAATCCTCATTGACTCCCATGTTAAAAATACCAATTTCACAGCAGAAATAAACATGTTTACAGCCTGGTACCAAATCATGTTTTTGGTTTAAATGATCTAGTTTACACTCATGACAACTCTGAGGGGGGTGAAAGTTTTTCTCACTCTTCTGTTTAAGTGTATTAAAAGCCTAAAATTCTGTATAATCAATGAGCATCAGACCCACGTGACCGCAGAGCTAGCTCCATGGAAAGGCCTCAGTAGAGCCTCGGTCTGGCCTGGAAACTGTTCTGTTTTTTTCAGTCTCTCACCTTAGAGCATTAGTTGTAGCATTTGTGTATTCTTTTTTGGATATTATTTATGCAATTGTTAGACAAAATGACTTGCTGTGGCATTAATTGCACTAATAGAGCGTCCAAGGAGTCTCCACTTCATTTTTTTTCGGTAAGTAAAATTATATTTATGTATTTTAGGTCCCTGCTGAGCTGAGCTTAGATTTTAACATGTACTGTTTAACCATGAAATTTAAATGTAATAGGGTAAAACCCAGTGCATTTAACATAAAGCTGCATTTTTGAAAATGGGTTGAAATATAACATGTTGGTGGAGCTGGGTTCCCACTATCGGTATGGACTCCCTCCCCTCAGCGGCAGCTCGGCGCATCTCAGATCGCAGCGGCGCTTGTCTGCTGCGCGGCTGCCGGCTTGTGGAGCTCTCGGAGACCTCTGTGTTCCACCCGGTTTTACCCAGCGGTCCGCCCGGAGTATCTCAGACTCAGAAGCTCTGGTGTTGTGCACAGCTAACTCCGGTTGTAGCTAGGTAGCTACCTCCGTTAGCTTAGCTCCACCTCTGCGTTAGCTTTGGGTTAGCTTGTAGCTACATCGCTTCAGTTCGAAGGGTGTCGTCATTTGATCCCAGCCTTACAGCCCTACCCTCAGCTCCACCTCTCTTCCCTTTTTGGAATTGTCTGGGCTTGATGGAACCTGTGACACGGTCAAGATGGCGGTGGTGGCCACCTCCCATTTTGGCACAAAAACATTAAATTGAAGCAGTATACATGTTGATGTGTCGATACAACAAACTTCTAAAGAGACAAAGACGCATTGACAGAAATGCAGAATTTATACCAGGACCTCACCAAGGAACACAAAACTGAAGTTCTCATAACCACAAAAAAGAATTTTAAGGAGGCAGAAGATTTGGACAAAACACAGGAACTGATCCAACAACTGAGAGCTGAGACTAATGCACTCATGAAAAAAAAAGTTTAAAACGATTTTAGACCAGTAAATAAACAAAGAAAGTTTTCCAGGCTCTCCCCGCTAGACAGACGGGATCGTCTAAGCCTGAGAAGTGACAGGACATTTTCCAGATCTGAGGAAAACCCCAGAACTTTGTTTTACTCTCTTCTATGATCATAATATTAAAAACCAGATGAGAAATGGGAGGAAAACCAACATAAAACATGATAGTTGCTCACATCGTAGTGGCAAGGTTGCAGGTTTCCTGTTTCAGCATTTCTCCAGTTTCCTCCCACAGCCCAAAATCATGCATGCTTAGTTAAATAACTGCATTGCTACTCCTGCAGCCAGGATTTGAACCTGTAACCGTCCTGCTGAGGCATCAGAGATACCAGCTACAGGTGCAGGCAGTCAGTGCAGACTTGGTCTTAGTTATATTGTTTGTCATGTTTATGCATCTTGTGCTGTTTTGATCATATATATTTCTCCCTCTGAGTTCAAATGGTGCCTTTTCCAGTCTAAAGCGCCCCTTGTGGCCACTGGCGGTAATGTATCAGCAGCGAACTGGAAACGCAGGAGCCAGAAGTCATGTTGATACTTTTTATTTTCTTCTGCACAAAGGTTTGTCTTCATAAACGTTCTTCTAGTAAAACCGTTCTGTGGCTGAGGCAGGAGCACGTGAGCGGGCATGACTGAGAAACTGTCTTCTTCTGTGTCTGACAGAGGTGACCTGTGAGATCCTGGTGGCGGTGGGACGTGTCCCCTCCAATATTGGACAAACACGTATTGGTAAATTTGTAAATGTTGTACATGTTTCCTTAGAAATATTTGAATAAATAAGTGTTCTCGCATTCTGGTGAATTTAGACTGCAATTTTGGCCAAAATGTAGAAAAATATCTACGTTTTGGCCTGTCATCCACACGAAAACGGAGTTTTTTCACACGAAAACGGATCTTTTTAAAAACTCCGGCCAAAGTGAAGATCTGCGTTTTCTCCGTTTTGGGTGTCTGCGTGTGGACAGACAAAACCGGAGTTTTAAGCTCCGCAACGTCACTTTCCGCGACATAAAAATGCTGACATCACGTGTGCGACCTGTGTTTACACTAGCCGACATCATGGATGCCCTCAGAGCTGCGCTCGCTTTATCAATTGTCCAAGCGCTTTTTGCTTGTTTGTTTTTGCAAGCGGGGGCATTTTGCCTTGGCCCCCAAAATGTCTTGAAACGGCCCTGGGTGTGTGACTGAGTTTTGAAGGTGATCTGAATTGTATCAGATGTATAAATATTACATGTGTGTAACTTATTGTTTTGCAGGTAAACACGTGTAGTGGAGAGAAATCTACCTACATTTTACTTTTCAACACTTTGTTTTGTTTTCTTGTTTTTATTTAACTATTTCCTGTCCTGTCTGTCTCTCATCTTCCTGCATCTCCTCTAAACTCTCCAGAAAATCTGTTGCCTGGATTCTTACTTTTCCACCTCATCGGTTACTTTTGAGCAGATCAAAGGGATCTCCTGACCACAAAGCGGAGAGCGCGTTTCGATGCGTCAGTGAGGTGAAATCACCGCAGCACAGGTGATGAGCTCCGCAGTGGCGGAGCGCTTCAGGCACAAATAAGACAGAAAGTAGAGAACATGTGCGGACATGAACGATCGTGTGCTAATTATAGTTTTTTGGTTGCGCCACTTTCAGTGGCGTGTCCAGATATTTTAAAATGGGGTGGCCCAGGTGAGGCACAACTTTGTGCATGGGTGGCACCAATGGTTATGCTTTTTTGTTTTACCCCCAAGCCTTTTGTGGACAATGAAAAGCCTATTTAAAGGTAAATTAGTGTGGTGGCACCTGGGGTGGCCAATCAGATTCCAAGGGTGTTATGTGCTACCCCAGGCCACTCCCTGGACACGCCCCTGGCCACTTTGAGAATGGACCGTGCGCTGGACGCAGCAGCCTGGAGCGCTGCGCACCGACCATCGCTCTGCCGCTCTCTGCTGAAAAGAGTCCATGAATGATAATATAGTAATATAGGTAGAAAACTTTTTTCCGGCTCCCCTGCATGTGTAGGATATGCAGCTCCCCCATCCCTGCTCCTGGATGAAAAGCCGGACATTTGCATCAATACAAGAACCCGGACATCCCGGACAGAGAGTGAAAAGCGGACATGTCCGGGGAAAACAGGACGTCCGGTCACACTAGTTTAATATAAAGCGGGAGATTACAGATGCAGTAATTTGCTCGTGCCCTTGCTGCCCTGAGCCCTTTAGAGTTTGTGGGCCCTGGGCAATTGCCCAGTTGCCCATGTGGTTTATCCGGCCTTGGCCTGATCTGATGAGTCTAAATTTCTGTTGAGACATTCAAACGGTAGAGTCAGAATTTGGCGTAAACAGAATGAGAACATGGATCCATCATGCCTGGGTACCACTGTGCAGGCTGGTGGAGGTGGTGTAATGGTGTGGGGGATGTTTTCTTGGCACACTTTAGGCCCCTTGGTGCCATCTGGGCATGGTTTAAATGCCACGGGCTACCTGAGCATTGTTTCTGACCACGTCCATCGCTTCATGACCACCATGTACCCATCCTCTGATGGCTACTTCCAGCAGGATGTCTAAAGATGCTTTCAGCACCTTGTTGAATCAGTGCAGAACTAAGGCAGTTCTGAAGGTGAAAGGGGGTCAAACACCGTATGAGTGTTCCTAATAATCCTTCAGGGGAGTGCATGTATTGACCTATTGACCTATCACAGATTTGTTGGATTTCCAAAATGTTTCCCCCTCAATAATAAACTTGTTTCTACGCCCTTGCCGGTTACTCTACATTATCCCTAGATGTGAGTGAGCATGTTATTGTCTCTGTCTAGGTGTCCCCCTCCTCTGACCAGGTGACTGACAGAGACAGGCATACATGGATTTTCATCCAGAGCAGGACAACTTCCTGCTATTTTCAGGATGTCGTCCCTCTCATGAACACGAGGAGGCGCTGTTCCCACATAAATCGTCTTGAAATCCTAATCTAAACTTCATGTTTACAGATTTCTGTGGTACTAAACACCAGGATGCCTTCATAAGCTTTACTGGGTCAACACACCTTTTTAAAATGTACACTCTT